TATATATATATGAAACGTCGGGTCTACCTTCATAGCGAGATAACGCTAAACTGACCTTTACCTACAGTATCGTCTATCCAGTGAGACACTTGAGCCGCGGCTATCCGTGCCTCGCGTATATACCTTATACAGACCTTCGTGCCAGTCGAAGATTGGTTCCAGGCGTTGAGCTCACTGACTTCGCGCACGTAGTGACTCTACCGCGGGGTCTAGTCTTGTCGTGGGAGTGCAACAGAGCGAGACGGCAATATCTCGGGCGGCCACGCGAGAGTGCGCGAGAGAACAGGTGAGAGAATGAGCACGTGAGAGAGAAGGAAGAAGAAGACCGGAGAGAGGGAGAGGACGTGTACGTAAGCGGCGAGAGAGGAGTTCTCTCGTGTAGAAGGAAAAGGAGAGGAAGGGAGCACTCAGAAAGAGAGAGGCGAAGCAACCGAGAGCCGAGAGGACGGTTGGCCAATGAGACACCGGGCTGGCGATGACGTCGTCGTTGTCTCACGTCCGAGTCTCACCAAAAGTCTTCTCCGGGTACCAGTTCGTCCGCGGTCTCCCGGCTGGACGAGGAGGTCGTCCTTTCCGCATCCACCCATCGTGTGGTCGCCGTTACTTTTTTTTTTTTAATTTCTTTCCTCGCATAGTGAAATATAAATTCAGCCAAGATTGCAGATCCTGGATACACGGAGGGATTGAGGCGGAAGGAGGCTGCTGCTGTCAGCCATGGGGACGGGTAAGTCTTGGTGTTTGCGAAAACAATCTGGTCCTCGTATTTCTATTTATCTTCCGAACGGCCCGTATCGCGATCTAGAGCATCGCGCCAACGTATGACCGCTCCACTTTCCAATGGAGATCGTATTCGTACCGTATGGGAACACCTTGGTGGACCTGGTCTCCGTCTTGAAAAACGTTCGAATCCATGGGAACCAATCTGGAAAGAATCGGGAATCGTTCAATGGGTTCGCACGTGGAGTTCAGTGATCCCTTTCGATATTTGATCGACAGCGACTTGGCGGAGGATTCAGCATGATGGATCGGCCGGTCCATGCTGCTGCAGACTCGTGTTGCGATTCCGCGAGTCGTCGATCGTCGAGACGCTGACGCGGCTTTGGCCTCTTGGGAAGTCAAGGCCGAGATTATTCGCTAGTGTATATCGTCAACTGGTATCACTCCGAGGCTAGACTCTGTTCAAGGACATGGTTAGAACGTCCGTCTCCGT